TCTTTTTTGTGGATATTCGTTATAGTGTAGAAATCTGTCAGATTTTTTATCTCCACTGTAAAGAGAGTTACTGTGTAATTTATTGAGAGACACAATCAACGTGAGTTATATTGTTGCATACAATCTCATATTATGCAACGATGTTGCTTATTGGTGTTTACAAAATAATTAGTAAATGTATCTCTTTGTAAAGTGCACGTCATAATGATTAAAAAATTTTTTTTTATGACTAACCGAACAGCTATTAATAATGAACAGAAGGTAGCCTTAATTACTTAATAGTATTGCCTTCCCCCTTCTCTACGCATTAGTTTTATCAGACAATGGACACAAGGAACATGTAATGACACTATACATATACAATCGACCAATCTATATGAATTATTGGCTACGTAGATATGCAAATCTTTCATCCAATTGCTGCTCAATCGTGTACCCTTTTCAGAAGCACTTCATACACTGGGTCTGACATGAAGTTTTTTTTTCGAAAGATGGCAACCCATTATTGTTAGGAAATTTCGGACGCCGATTTGAAGCTGGCAAGCCTCTCTCTTTTCCAAAAAATTATCCAGTTACAGCCCCGCCACACAACTCCGCCACACGCGGCGTTTTTGGACGACCATGTGGCGCGTGTAGCATCAAATTGATTTGTCACTTACATAAAACATACTCTCACTTTATGATTTGCTATGTTGTAAGCAGGTTGAGTTTCACCAAAGTGCTGCTTTACCTTAAACAAAATTCCGCAAGTACAGCAAGGTTTTGATAGTTTGGTATGTTTCGATTTCTCAATAAAAGTATTTCAGATAGTTACGGTCCCGCCACACGGCCGCACAGCCCTCGGTCTGTCTTCCGAATCTGAAATGTGTGACATCTAGCTTCATGGCTCGTTTAATATAATACTTCTTAACAATCTGATTGTAATGTTTTCACACAAAGAGTAAGAGTCAAATAATACCAATACTTTGGGAAATATTCATTAGACTCTGCATGCCGCCATTTTTGACTCTGTTTAGTCTCATATATTGTTAACCCACTTTCGTCATATTCGTTGGGTTGGCAAGAGACTCAGGTAAGTTTTTGGTAGCTAACTTTGTGCTCATGTTCATTGTGCAAACTTTAAACTCAGTTTAATAAAAAACTACTATGTAAAAGTTGAGGAAATCCTGGAGGATTCTGAAAGAGTATACTCGTAAAGCATGTTTCTATCGTTAGTTTCAAATTTTATTTGAAGTCTCAAATTCTCTGTGCTAACAATGTTGATTGATCTACAAATTTCGTAATTGCATGATCATTATGCCACTAGCCAGAAAAAGTTTAAGAGTAAATTCAGTATATTAATATATTAATAAATACTATTACTATATATTTTAATTGATTCGTATTATAACATATTGTAATTTATTAAGACCTGTGACGTGAGTTGCATATCATCAGATGTAAGTCATATTATGGTATATGCAGTGGGACTTCCCTAAGTGCAATCTCTAAAGTGCACGTTCTTTATCCCAGGCCCACCTATCTTGTAGTTTACCTCTAATAATACACGTCATACCGATTAAAAGATTTTCTCTTAAGAAGGGTAGCCTCAATGACATGCAAAATGTGAACCGGTATTTGTGAATAGTTTTATTACCTCCCCCTTTTTCTACGTAGTAGTTATATCAGACAATGGTCAACGAATGACGATTGCACTATGCTATACAATCGAATAATTTATATGAATTGTTGGCTATCTTCACATCGTAACATGATTGGATATCCCCTAATGCACAAGGGAGACATTGTGGTACCTAACATATCCTACATTATGGAAAGCACTTAAACATCTGTGAAAAGATATGCCAACTTTACCGCTCAGTCATTCTTACAAGGTGAAGTTGCAACTATCCATTTATCGAGTGTTCCAAGTATGGAGGCATCAAATAGTAGCAATGCATTAATCTGATTGGCTTAGAACACTGAAGTGGAATCAATTCACGGTTGTGTGACGTACTTTATACTGCGTAACGCATTTTTTTTTGTACAATGGTGTACCGTATTTTGTGACGTAACATCCGAAACATATATCAATCAATGGGTAAGTGGCATAACGCCAACTCATATCAACAACGTCAACTACGTACGTATTGTTGTGCTATTCGTAAGCTAAGCGGTAAGACGTTGGCAACGTTTGTATGTACACCAACACTTGTGAATGAGTTTGCCAGAAAATTCTCACTTCCTCCACACAAGTACAACATTGACGTCAATCGTTCAGGTGATTACCTTGAAGACGTTAGCCATCCATGGTAGATGGTATTGTCCTAAAGCAATTTGGTCACAATATACATCGAACCCCTCCGCACTCCCGAATCCGCGGAATGAAACGGCAGCACTTAATTGCCTTTCGGCTATTTTGTTAAACGCACTCCAACATGTGAATCAGAATCTGACGGACATGAGCCGTCTACATAACCAGAGCGTATTTGAATTCTGCGCTATTCCACAGGTCATGGCTATTGCAACACTTACCCTAATGTTTAGGAATATTGGGGCTTGAGAATCAAGGATTACGAACTACGAAGATAACTACTACATGGCATGGTTGTTGATAGACTTTTTTACAGTTGCTATCTCGATATGGATTTTGCATTGCATGTCAAATACTCCCGTATGGTGCATTTGTGGACATAAAGAATTATCCGTGGATGGAATAGCAACGATAAATGGGAATATTGCAATCTTTAGTCTACCTACCTATATCAAGCGGTGAGTTGGACGATTCATATTATACCAGTAAGGCAAACTATTTAGTTATGCATCCTGCTCATTGGATAGCTTAACATGTATTGATGTACGATTTCTACCAATTATCTTATGAGCGTGTGCCAAATATTCTTACCACAAACGTTCACTTTATTACTAGATTTACATACGATATATGTGAACAAGAGTACTTCTAATAGAACCAAAGTATAGTGACAGTTCATGTCTGACGCGTACGGGGCAATTAAACCGCAACAGCATTACCCACGGATGTACACGTACAGCATATTGGTAGACGTGACGGCGATAAAAGTACCAAGCGGATAAGTCCTTGATTCGGGATCAGGTAAATTATTTCGTATACAAAACAATGCAATAAATAGTCGTTATGTGTTGCATTTGTTGATTGTTTTAATGATTGTATTGTAGCTAACTCAAATACCCACTCCTAATAATGTTTATGTAACTAGAATCACTCAAGAATTATCCACTCAAGCATATTACATCATGAAATATTATGCAGTATTGGACAGAATCATACAACATTGCCGGTCTAAAATATATTCAGTATGTCGACTTTTGATGAACTTGACGAGATTGTCTGGCGGTTACAGAACAGTTTATACTACCAGATCATAACGATAAGATTTGTTGAATTGACGTTGTTTATTATATAATTTCCTACGAGAGACATCATAATTTGATCAACTCACATTTACGATGATTGTTATCTCTGGCCTTTTTTTGCCTTTGTTCTATATATATATATTGCAAAATTACTGTTAACGTGATCGATGATTGGTCAATCATTATAATGTGCATTTCAAATCGTGTAATTCGTCATTCTTGAATGCGAACATAGTATTACGCAAACATATATTTATGATACAGCGTTACTTCTACTTGATAACTCTTGTGATAGGTTACTCTCTTAAGAATAATAATGATATCGGCTAGTTTAAACGGTATAAGAAACGGCAACCAACTCGTAAAGAAGTTTACAACTCTTATATGGCGGGGCGTAGCCACTTTCACTCCCAAAGTAGAATTACGGTATAGCTTGTTGTGGATATATTCACAGTTATAAAAACTATCCGCTGAACGGAGACTAGCAACGAAAGCATCTCGCTTAGTTTATCAATTACCTAACCCAGCAAAGATACCATTTGATTGTATTGATGGTGTGTCTTCTTACTCGTAAATAGTAAAATTAATTCCACTTGAGATAACAGACAAGACGCACGATTTGATATTATACCGAGTTATAATTTACTGGGAATAGCGTACTATAATTTGGCTGAATTAATTTTCGAAAAATCGGGTAATATGAGCCAGAAAACATTTAATAACGGACAATTTTCACCGACAAAACTTTATTCCAATTGTTTCAAAACGCACCAAACACAACAAAAATGCAAGACTATGGTTTACAAGATTAACAACCACAGTTTGTTTATTTAATAATAAAAAAATTTTATTTATATACAATTTTCTATGTTAATAATTTATTGTACATGTTTGAATAATACATAATAAGTAATAATGCTGCTAATTTTTATTTTATTAATTACATAACATATACATAACGGAAAAAATACATGACATTAATTTAGCTAACTACCAACTAGCACTCTCCTGACGTTCTATAATTGCCTACATAATTGATTAGTTAGTTCATGGCAACGGAAACTGCCGCATGGGAAAACACTCACCCGCATGGCAACGTAAACTGCCGCATGGCGTAAAA